TCTGGGCTCAGGAAGAATAGAAAGAATTTCTGATATGAGTAGAAGTAATTAGAGTGACACCATCAGTCCCTGTTTGGATTTACTGTGTGGAAAGTTATTTAGACACTAATTTATATTTTAGTTATAATTCTCAACAATTTTCTTTAGCATAATGTTTACTTTAGACGTGTACATCACAACTACAGTGACTATTTAAATCAATTGTGAAATCCCCTAGACCAGTTAATCTGGGGGTACCTTAGAGACGAGACATCACCTGGTGATCACTGGTCATGAGGGAAAATATATATTTTCCGCAACCAGATATAAGTGGTTACTGGTTGTCGCCAAGGAAATGTGGTCACAAAGACGACGTTGCTCCATGTGATTGCTTTGGTTGCAATTTCATGCTAGCAACTACCAGAAACAATTCAACAGATTAGAGAATACACATTTTTTCATAGCAGATGAAAGTTGCCAGCGTCTGCCTGATCAGTCTCTCGTCCTGCGTGGGCTTTAGCCATGAATTTCAAAGCGACTGGCAACCATTTCCACCACATTTTTCATTTGCAACTGGTGGTTGCCATTTAGTCACTAACTGATCTCTGGGCCTGTGTGACTGAGCCTAACCTGAATCAAACGCAATTTAAAATCTAAAACCTTAACAAATTTGAGAAGAAAATGTAACTGTTGACTAAAAGAAAAAGAGCAATAGAAAGGGACAGTCAAAACAAAGAAGTAAGAAAATATATTTAGATGAAAGCAAAAAAATGGCACAGTGGGTTATTAGAAAAACTAATAGTATGAAATGTGTTAAAATTGTTTGCTAAACGTATAAAACATTGAAATGGTTAGGTCACAGTGTAAGTACATGAAATTGTGATATAAAATCATGACAAAAGATCAAAATAATAAATAAAATTCTGAAACCAGGTGGAAATTATTAGCTAAAACTTTAACTGTTGAATTTGTTAGCTAAACGTACTGGATAAACAGTTGAAAAAGCTAGCTAAAAAACAGATTTAAAAAAGTAGTTTTAACTAAAGATATAAACTGTTTGAATGGCTGAAATAGAAACTCAATACTTGGCACTAAACTAGTAAGAGTGTTTGCTAATCATAATCAGTATATAGTTAACAGAATGTAATCGCTAAAAGTAAATGGTAAGCTAATTTCATCCTGCCAGATAATTACATAGGGTGGGGGTTGTTAACCTTTGCTAGCCAGTCATTTTTCACTCAGGAAATGTGTATGAAGCCACAACTTAAGAAGAAACCACTTATGTATTTACAGACACGGCGTTTACAAGGGAAAGGGGGTATGCAAGGGGTATGCTTGAACCCTAAAGGTTTTTTTAAATGAACTCCTGCTACCATACATAAACAGACTTTTTTGGTAAATATATGCACAAAGTTTCACTTGCTATTGTACTGGGCTCTGGCTGCTGATGTCTGAAGATTACTTGGTATAGAGACATGAAGGGATGAGAAGAAATGGCAAGCAAAATGGCATGGGATGGGGATGGGTAGTAGAATACCTAGGGAGGATATAATAAACAAAAATAAACTGTCATGTTTCCCCTGTGTCATCTCAAGCGCGTGGGATGGCGATATGGGTTGAGGCAGAAAATATCACTGACACACAACACAAAGTATACTTGGCCTGCTATAGTCTAATTATTGCACGCTGAGCTGCTAGGCCCGGAGCTTCGGGGACCAGAGCATCTGTCGCCGATGGCAAAGGCTGCCAAGCCAGTCCTTAAAAAAAGTCTTAAAACTGATCCAAAGCTAGTGAGGGAGAAAATTCTTACTGCCCAATGGGGAAGCAAGTCACTTGTTTCCAGTTTCATTTAATGATAAGTTTGAGTTCCATCTTAGTGATAGCAAGTACCAGCTGAATGCCTAATCAGGATCTGCATCAGCTGTCTATAAGTTGCCAGTGTCACTCTGACTGCAGACTCTGACTCTGCTATTCTAAAGAAGAGATGAGGCACACTGCCAGAATCCCCCTCTGAAAGACACACATTTGTGATTCTATTTTCTAACAGGCAATTATGCTCTGCTGCCACTGAATAGGAAGAAGGAAGAGAATCACATTTATAGAGTTCATTTTTCGTTATACTCTGTTAACAAGGACAGCATTGGAACACACTGAAAACTCTTTCATTCAAATAGTGTTCTAATAATCTGCTCATACTTTAATTTGTCATTGGTAGGGTTTGTTGTTATTGCAAGCAAAACACTATTCGGGATTTCTTTTCTGGATGATGTATGGTCAAAGCATCGGAAGGTAATTTATTAAATAAATCTCCTGTGTAATCATTTTAATTCTTTCTTTCAGCATTAAGCATTCCTGCAAATTTATTGGCTTCAAGGCAATAAGTTAAAACCCAGATTTAAGCTAAGTGCAGATCCTTAGTTGGTTTAGAGTGTTTAAATTTATTTCAGTGGTTGTGTCTCAGGAGGTAGAGCAGGTCAACAGGAGGTTGGTGGTTTAATCTCTGGCTGGTCCAATTCGCATCCAAAGTGTCTGTGTGCAGGATACAGAACCCCAGGTTGCTCACAGATGCATCCATTGGAATTTGAATGTGTGTGAATGTTAAATAGAAACCACTTACATGTCGATGCAGTGCTACTGTGAATGTAACATGTTGCATAGAGTGCTCAAGTAGAATAGATAAGCGCTATATAAGAACCAGTTCAGTACATTAACTTTGACTGTCGGCTAATGTGACTCTTTTCCTCACAACGTGCACATTTATATTTTTTGTTTACTTTTGACTGCAATCCCTCCACAAAATCTGCAGGAAGTCAGATACAAAATCTCACAAGTCTCGTTGTTCAACTATCAGCTAATGTCTTTGCTGTCTGTGGTGTTTGAGTGCAGATGGAGGAGAAGAACAGACAACTACAGGAGAGGTTGGAGCTTGCAGAACAGAAACTCCAGCAGACCATGAGGAAGGCTGAGACACTCCCGGAGGTAGAGGCCGAACTAGCCCAGAGGATAGCAGCTCTCACCAAGGTAAGCGCACACGTTTGTACATATTGTACATTAACACACATGCTGTTGACGTATTCCCACAGATGCCCTAGTTTTTCTTTCTGTACATTTGTGTAAGTGTGCACGTGGTGTCATGACGTTTCAACATGTTCCTCTCCTCTTCCTCGGCCACATAGTCTGACTCCAGCTCCTCTTCCTCTCCTGATGATTATCACTTTGTAATGGAAGCTAAACTCCAAGACATGAACTCCATTCTTAGGAAGGTAGTTCCACAGGGCATCACAGCTATTGCCAACTCCAATAGAGAACAGATATCATTCATTTATCTTATTAGTGTTTTGTGGCGGGCGTGTTTACTGGGATTCTGCTCTGGCTGTTCTACCACCATGGGACAGCTGCATGGCACTTCTGGCTGGAGCTCATACTTGGCAGTGCTGGAGCAGCTCTCTTCCTCTTTCATTTTGTCCTTTGGTGGCCTTGTTCTCCATCTTTCTCCTTGTCACTGTTTGTTTCAATCAGCTGTCTTTCCAGTTACGCTTTAAAACATAGATATCCATCTTTGAGTTTGGGGTAGAAGCTTTGGCTTGTGTTGTCGCCACCATTTTTCTTTGTTGGCCCTTAGGCTGTCAAGCACACAGATCATCGTGGCCTCTCTTCTTTTTTTTTTTTTGTCCTGTCTGTGCTGTGATCCAACTGTAGGCGGAAGAGCGTCACGGGAGCATTGAGGAGCGAATGAGGCACTTGGAATGCCAGCTGGAGGAGAAGAACCAGGAGCTGCTGAGGGTGAGTCACTGCGGAGGCGTTGTGCCAAGCAGCGTTAACCAGGCAGCCACTTCTGCATGAGCAAGACAGCTTGAAGCGACTGCAACTGATGGCACACTGTCTGATTTATCACCAATGAAGCTTGACCAAATGGGTCTCTCACGTACTCTGCTGATATAATCGTTTGCAAAATACTCACAAATGATGCAAATGAGTAATTCTAAAAGACGTTAGTGTTTTCACGTCACACTTTAGTGTATGATAGCAAATTCAAGTGAGAATACTGTCTGTATGAAGATGTTTAACCTCATGAGTCATTTTCAAAGTTTTTTTGTTGTTGTTTTCCTTATTTGAAAAATGCAATAGTGGGCAATCTTTTCAACAGCAGTCATATAGTACAAAGAAACCCCCAACAGTCAAATAACCCCTTTGAGAAAGCACTTGGCAACAGTGGGAAGGAAAAACTCCTTTTTAATAGGAAGAAACCTCCAGCAGAGCCAGGTTCAGTGAGGGGCAGCCGTCTGCCACGACTAGCCGGTGGTGATGGGAGGGAGAAAGGATCAAAGATACACTGTGGATGGGAGCCAGAAATTGATAGTAGCTAATGATTAAATGCAGTGGTGTATAAATATATAGTGAGTGAAAAAGAAACACTCCCAATGCATCATAGGAATCCCCCAGCAGCTTAGGCCTTTGGCAGGGAGGATCACCTGATGCAGCCATAATGATGTTCTTTATCAAAAATGAAAGTTTTAAGCCTAATCTTAGAAGTGGAGAGGGTATCTGTCTCCCGAATTCAAATTGGAAGCTAATTCCACAGAAGAGGGCCTGAAAGCTGAAGGCTCTGCCTCCCATTCTACTTTTAAATATCCTACAAACCAGCAGTTTGAGAACAAAGTGCTCTGCTGGGTTCATAAGGTACTATGAGGTCTTTAAGATAACATGGGGCCTGATTATTCAAGACCTTGTATGTGAGGAGAAGGATTTTCCATTCAATTTTTTATTTAACAGGGAGTTAAGAAAAGCCATTATGGGAAAAATAGCTGTGTATTATTCAGCATGTAAAAAATAAATATAAAAATGAGGAGGCTTAATCAGATTTCAATTTGACCAGTCTCCCACTCAGTGTCCTCTTCGCATGCACTATTGCATTGCTTCCAGTACTGCTGTTAATTTTAGATTGTCACTTGGAATTCCCGTACTGATCGCGGCACTCCACTCATGTGTCAAACTAACCCAACTTTCATCCGGATACAGTAATACTCCCTGGTGAGGTCTCCAGCAATAACCCAGGGACCAAACAGCAGTTTTCGGTGGAACTGTTGCTCAGTGGCCAAGCCTGAAGCTAGTGTATAAGGTCAGAAGGCCAACAAGGAGTATACTCGTCCTTTGTGTCGACATTCACGGGTTTGTGCATTCTGGATTTGTCCTCAAGGCTGTCAATGCAGAATTCTGCTGTAGCATCATGAGGCATTTATCAGAGAACATGTGTGACCTTGTTCTATTGTGCGCAGAAACAAGCCAACACCATCTTTAGTCGCCACCAGCCCCACTCACCAGATTTCACTCCCTGTGATTATTTTTTCTCTAAAATAAAGAAAATTATGTGGCTGTTCAGACACAGAAGCGGGGATCCAGTGCACAAGTGGTCAGAATCAGACCTCAGAGAGAGATCTAAAGTGCAGCCACACTAGAAGCATAGTAATTTCTTTGAGGTAATCTTACTTACTGAAATGTGGTGCTTGGGGTTCATTTACATAATCACATCATTTATGATACACTACACTGATTTGTCGAAGTGTTGTCCTCATATAAAGTTCTGATTTTAAACTAAAAATAGAATAGCTGTAAAGGCCATGCAATTAGTTATTCTAGTTCCTGCTGAGAGGCTTTCATCACATCAGAAACAATTTAGACTGATGTCTTATTCTCATACAAATGGGCTTGTTTTGTGTTGGTTTATCTGTATTTTTCTCCTTCAGGCTCGGCAGAGGGAAAAGATGAATGAAGAGCACAACAAGAGACTCTCAGACACAGTGGACAGACTCCTCACTGAGTCCAACGAGCGACTTCAGCTCCACCTGAAGGAGAGAATGGCAGCTCTCGAAGAGAAGGTTAAAAACGCCTGACACGTCAATGGAAACCTGTCAATATCAATTGCAGTTGCAATTGAAGGTCATTAAAAGATGTATTTTTCTCACTTCTTCCCTTTCCCCCCCCTTTTCTATGCAGAATATGCTAATCCAAGACTCGGAAACTTACAGAAAACAGTACGAGGAGTCAATCCAAGAAAAAGTAGGTTGTAGAGATTGAGAAATGATTACCTCCTGTTTCAAAATGTCTACATTTTACATGAGCTTAGTGTAATAACTGACTTTTGAGTACAGCAATAATGAGTTTGGTTATTGGCACTAGTTAAATTTTTTATAAACCTTCAATATTGAAAAGCTCCTGCAAGGGGTAGAATAATAAGGTGGCTACTGAAAACAGTAGAAATTACAACTGTCACCTACTCAGACCTGTAAATGTAATCAGCTCCACATGCTGCAGCCATGTCACTAGTATGACTAGTGGTATAAAGGGGTAGGATAATCATTTCATTTTTTGGGCATGTAATATCACAGACAATGATGTAGAGAAATTGTTTTGTCCAGTCGCAGCTGGCAGAGGATATTGAGAAACTGAGATCGGAGCTCGACCAATTCAGATTGAGGGCAGGCTCCCTCACAGAACCCACGCTGTCACGGTAGGTCGGTTTTCTGTGTGTGTGTGTGTGTGTGTGTGTGAGTGTGAGTGTATCCGGATGTAAGACGCAGTTTGTAACGTACCTCCACATGTATATACTGCATCAGTTGCTGCTTTTGGATCACAATATTGGACAGGGGGAGAAATAGACTTCCTCTTTTTCTTGCATTTCACAATAAAAGCCTACAGTTGCTTTAATAGCAATCTTTGGCACATTCCAGGAGCCAAATAAAATCATATTTGGTTTTAATCACTGTTGAATAGATTTTTTTCCCTTAATAAATAACATTTTTCTTGTTTTTATTTGAGAATGATTAATTTATATCACTAATTAAATCAATTTGTGGGATTGTAAAAGTCAGACAACACATTTTAATCAATTCAATTAGAATAAACTTGCTGTTAAATTTAAATCGGAATAAAAAACCAAGCTTTATAACTAACTTTAGATGGACAAAGTTAAAAACTGGCCAGAAACATATTTTGTATGTATTTTAGGAGCTATATAAAACCATTAATCACATTCCTTGTTAATCAAATAATATCACTTGCATGTTCAGTTGCATGCAGCCCTCATTTGTGGCCAGTGACATTTGCCTCCACTGGCAACAACATCAACATTTAAGTGTCCAGTCAACTATTCATAACAATCCCTAATCACTATGTATGTCTAAATATATTTTCCTTATCAAAATGTATAATTATTCAAAAATAGACAAGCCTGCAATATTTAGATAAGCAAACGTTGAGCTATTTTGAGTTTAGAATCTGTCCATTTACTACCACAAGAAGTCCGTCATACATTATGTGTGATTCAACAATTTGATTCATAAACTTTCAAATAAATGTAATTTTACTATATGTTTTTTAGACTTTACTAGGAGAATAAAGACAAGGAATGTATGTTTCTGTTGCTGAGGAAGCTTGCCAGTCAAGTGCTTCTCAGAAATGGGCTAAAGAAAAAAAAATTGGCTTGTTCAGTGGGAGCACGGTGATCCCTGAACATTAGTTGGTTCCGTGTCCAAACATTAGTGTTGAATACACGACGTATTACAAGGTGAGCAAATGACTCAAGAAAAACGTGGATGCTGTGAAAACATCTGCAACATAAAGTAGATGTGTTACAGTAGACATGCAATAAAAGGCCACGAGAGATTCAGATTTAGTCTAATGTGTGTGTTTATGGAACAGGAAGCAAAGAGAGGCAAATAGATACTCAGTCTCCAGGAGCTTTCCTGTTATTTTATCCTTCTGTGAAAACTACTTGCTCTGTTACACTATTGTTAGAAACACTGGTATAATGGAACTTTTGGCATCTATTTTTGGATACTTTCTGGTTTCCATTTCATGCTGCTTGAAGTTCTAATCTTACAAAGCTGACGTGTTGACAGTGGCAGCCTTAATCTCTTCCAAAGACAAACAATTTGCAGCCATAGAAGCATGCATAACAAGCTCTTATCCTTCAAGAAGTACACTTTGCACCTCCTCACTGTGACTAATAGGTACGCTTGAGGTATCAAAATATAACATCTGACTGGTTTCCTGCCTGCGTAACTAATCGGTACTGCAAGTTTTCTTGCTGTGTCTTATCTACTGGCAATCTGCTTTACGACCCAAACAAAATCACTGCTAACGATTGTGTTTGAAGGATTTGCTTTAACAGGTTCAGATATTATTCATCTGTCATATGAAAAACACAAAATCTGTAACCAAGCATTTTGCGTTTAGCTTCAATTATACTCATAAAAGTTGTTTCCCAGATCCCATCTGGACACATCAGCTGAGCTTCGATTCTCTTTGGGATCTCTGGCTGAAACCCAGTCGGACCACTACCGCTCAGCAAAGGTCATCCATCGACAAAGGAGAGGTCGAATAGGTCTGCGAGAAACCAAGGTGAGGAATAACATCTGGTTTGTCTGCCTTTCACTTTTACTTATATTTAAATGTTTCTATTTGAAAAACATCTAAGAGCTTCTTTAGTGGTCTGTCAATGAACAGTGCCAGCTTTAACGCAGTGAGTTAAATTTAGATACTGGAGAAGTTCCAGTTTGGCAAATCCAACAGGGACTAAAATATTTCAATATACACTCACTGGAAACTTCATTACACCTTCCTAGTACTGGGTTGGGTTACCTTTATTCTGTATCACATAGATTAAACAAGTTGCTAGAAGGACTCCTCAGAGCTTCATACAGCTGCTTCAGATTTGGTGGCTGTAGAGACTTTCTGATTGCTGTAAATTCATTGTTATGTTTGAGAAACCAGTTTGACCTGATTGAGCTTTGTGACATGAAGCCTATTCCCCATACCATTACACGGATAGCAGCAGTCTGAACTGTTCACACAAGGCGGGATGAATCCATGTTCTGATGTTGTTTGTAACAAATTCTGACCCTGCCATCCTAAACGTAGCAGCAGAAATCAAGACTCATCAGACTAGAGAACATTTTTCATATCTTCTGTTGTCCAATTTTAATGAGCTCGGGTAAAGTGTAGCCTCGCTTTCTTGTTCTTGACAGGAGTGGGACTCTGTGTGGTCTTCTGCTGCTGTAGCCCATCTGCTTCTAGGCTCTATGTATTGTGCATCTCTGAATGCACAATACATAGAGTGTATACCTTAATTGGAATGAAGGGGTTACTGTTAGTGATGCGCACACACTACATTTACCAAATATGATGACCAGAGACAAAGACCTGGCAACAATGTACTGGGTCTGAATTAGGCCTTGAACCTTTAATATAACATTTTTGACAGGCTTAATGCAAACATTTTCTGTAGGCTCTTATTTTGGAGGTTTAAAGTTTTTGGATTCTAAATACAGGTTATGGCAATTCAAGTATGAGTGCAGCACACATTATAAATATATAGGATACTGCTTTTAAATGAAACAAAAACCATTTCCATCTTTTGGTGTGTCGCCACTACTACTGCTTAGAGAAGTCATTAAACCTTATTAGAGTTAATAATAAGACATAATCAGGGGAAAAAAGCATAAGTGCTTCTCATAAAATTGTATTACATGACTATGTTTTCAGTTTCCAGTAATGATCTCAAAATATTAGTTCATAACTAATAAGATATTGTTTTGTAGTCACAGTTTCACTCTGTCTCTGTATGCAGGCAAAGTCACTGGGGGAGCCTGAATGGCGCTCACAGCAGCTGGGGGTCATGGGAGGCCACCACTTTGAGAGCGACACGGAAATGTCTGACATTGACGACGACGACAGGGAGACGTTGTTCAGCTCCATGGACCTGCTGTCTCCCAGTGGTCACTCCGATGCACAAACTCTGGCCATGATGCTTCAGGAGCAGCTGGACGCAATCAACAAGGAGATCCGGTAGCTGACACACGCCGTTGTATAAATTTAATACTGAAGGCCAGATTTCCAGACGTATTGATCCGCCTTCTCGTTCTCAATCCACTTTACTGGAGACCAACTTGATATGTTTTTAAGATCATGTTCTGGAAAGACTTTAAAGTTTGGAGCGATATTCTGCTTCCATAACTGCACCTTGTTTGCCCTTGGTTGCTAAAGTAATATTTCACCCAAAAACTTTGCTTTTAGAATTAAAAATTAACACACCCACATTGATTTTGGTTGCCTTGTGTTCAAGCTAGTAACCACAGAAGCAAGATAAAAAGTGCCCCAGAGAAACTGAGCCGCATAGTAATTCACTCTCTAGACAAAATGTGTGTCTGCCGAGCTCACAGGTAAACCACTAAAGGTGTCTGTAGATTACTCTTCCCGTATGTGAACCAAACACTATCCTTGTATGCACTCAGTGTTTTGGTAAATGTGAGGTGCCTCTTGCTTGATAATGCTGTAATTATCTTGTGCCAATAAGTATTCATGACCCCCAGGCACAACTTTACTTAGTTCTTTATTTAAAGGGCTGTTAATGTGCCTTGTGGTCTTTGCTAATTTACATCTACATCAAAAGACACAGCGCTACATTTCTTTTAGAAAGATTTAATGCGGTCTTATTGTGTAAAGTGATCATGAATCTAAAGTGTTGAGCTTTCAGCTAATTACAAAGTTAGATACAGAGTGTGGTTAATTACCTGACTTTTAGCCTTTTAACTCTTTAGTTTGTCCTTTAATTACTTTACCTGATACTGCAGGGACTTAAAGGTCTGAGCGTTGCAAATCTCCTGAAATCTACCTTTAAAGAACTTGAAAGCTGAGGCTATTTTTGTAGCAGTATAGCTTCTATATTTTTTGTTTTTTAAGTTATCTAAAAAATGCACAGCTTGATTCTTTTTTTTTTCAAAGTTTTACATAGAAAAATATTCACAGCATTTTCCTGATACCAGGCTAATCCAGGAAGAGAAGGAGTCAACAGAGCTGCGAGCAGAAGAGATTGAGAACCGAGTGGCCAGCGTTAGCCTCGAGGGTCTAAACCTGGCTCGAATGCACCACCACGGAGCCTCCATCACTGCCTCAGCAACTGCCTCCTCGCTTGCCTCCTCTTCCCCACCCAGCGGACACTCCACACCTAAGCTTGATCCTCGAAGCCCTGCCCGGGACATGGAGCGCATGGGGGTCATGACACTGGTATGTTACATCACCACGTGCGAGACATCTTCTATCATACCGTCTACAGATCCTACTACAGACCTCTGTTTACATAATGTATGTTGCATCAATAAATTGCCATCTTTTTACCTGCTAGAGCACCATGTAAACTGTAAATGTGGTCTTTGTTTAGAAGTCTGGGAATAGTAATGCAGTTGGTACAAAATACAGTTTCCCGGCATGTGAAACTTTATGTAGAAAATAGATGTAGCTACCATTATGTCACCTATTGGTTGAAGCTTGAAGCCACATTAAAGTTACAGAGCAGAGTTGCCAAGTGCTGAGAAGAATTGATGTAAAAGTTGCCAAAGCTCCCTTGACTCAATAACTACAGAGTTCCAAACCTCCTCTAGCATTAATATCAGCACAAAAACCGTGCAGTGGGAGCTTCATAGCATGGCTTTCATGGCCGAGCAGCTCATGTAGGTGTAATGTGTAGGTGGGCAGGTCCTTTTCTCAATATGGTTCACATAAAATAATAGAACTTCACTTATCAAAACTGTACCACAGACCTGTTTATCACACAGCAAGCCATATTATTTGTCAGATAACTGTATTGAAAATGCTCTAGAAGGTAGCAACGCAACAAAGACATTGGAGAGCTCTCTCGACTATCATCATTCAACCCAGGTGTCTAGTGGGATCAGTGTAAATGTCTTCTTTACCCATGGGATTTCAAAGCAATAAGGCTTTGATTTTATTGATTATTCAACTGACTTGTTTACCAGTCTTTCTTTATTCCTCAGTGCTGATCTCTAAATAGGTGGTCTGGTATTAGGCAATGGCTCATGAGCTTCTAATGGTACATGATATTTCTATAAGTGAGCTAATTGTTTTATTTTTCACCAGCATGCAGGAGTTCAAGTTTTTGTTCATGCTTTAACACGTGAATATTGACAGTTTTTTTTTCCTGTTTTTCCTTCACCATACAGCCCAGTGATTTGAGGAAACACAGGAGAAAGGTACACACACCAAGAGTTCGCTCAACAGATTTTAAATATGATACCATTTGACTATAACTCAGAGCTGTAATGGTTGCTGCAGTGACACCGTGAATAAATAGTTGACTTACTAGTGTCCGAGGTCACTTGTAATGCCCCGCCCCTTTGCCCTTATCCTTCAGATAGCAGCGGTGGATGAGGATGGTCGCGAGGACAAGGCCACCATTAAGTGTGAGACATCCCCCCCCCCGACGCCACGCACTGTCCGAATGACACACACACTGCCAGCCTCCTCGCACAACGATGCACGAGGGTAAGTGCCTGCTGTAAGTGAAGGCATTTCTTAAAAAAGTTCTCGACGATGTGTGTTTGTAGATGATGCTGTCATTCTATTCTTGCTTTTGATGAAAATTAGATAGTATACTGCCCAATTAGTACTTGCCAGTTCAGCTGCAATTTGTGCTATGAATAATATTTCAACACGCAAGATATTGATGATTAAAGCTAAAGTAAAGCTAAAGTATCACTAAAGTAAAGCTAAAGTGTCACTGTTGCAGTGATATCAGATGAGATGAAGCTTCAATAATTTGCATAAAATGCTCAAAAAGTACATTTGCTATAAGCAGTAAATATTCCCGGGATACAACACAAGAAAAAGTCAGTAAACTTTCATTTCAAAAGTTAATAACAGAACGAGTTAGAGTAACACAGCAGGGCATTAAATAAAAGGTACTTGAGATGACAAATATACTTCTTAACATAAGCTTATAATGGAAAACCTTTGATTATCTCATAAAATTAAAATGTAGAAAACACTCCTTTTATGAATATTGTCTGTATGTTTCTGTCCTCAGGATTGTGGCTTCTTTAGAGGCTGAAGCCAGTGCCCTTAGTAGTGTAGCCAGCAGCCAGGACTCCCTCCACAAGCAGCCAAAGAAGAAGGGTATTAAATCCTCCATCGGACGATTATTTGGCAAGAAGGAAAAAGGCCGACTGGCACACCTAGCACACAGACAGGTCATGGTAGATCCACAAGGCGAGTACAGCGCTGGGATATTTTACTTAATACTATTACAATTTGGTCTATTTTGTCTAAAAAAAAACAAAAAAAAAACAACTTTTTAAAAAGCATTCTTAGCTGCAGTTTTGCCAGCTAAGAAGGTCTCTCAGAGTTTACAAACTGCACAGTACTATTTAGAATTCTACTGCTGCAGCTAGTCAATGTATAACTTCATGTAGGCAGCATAAACACACTAAAAATGCATCAGCTCGGCATAGCCACAGTGTCATCACCTACTAGTTTTAATTTTAAAGGCTCTGTTTTATGGCTCAGTTACACTAGAATTAAAATACAAAGGTGGGAAAATTATTGGAGGTTGCCCAATTGCATTTAGTTTTTTTTTGTATTCATTGAACGAATGGAAGGCTGACCACTTGGTCACTTGTAGTGACCAAGTGGTCAAGGGATTGAGTGTGCAACACCCTCAGCAACCTGGATGACTACTTTCAGTCACAACTGGGGGCGACTGGGGACAGGTTGCCTCCCATCTTTAACCTCTGCAAACAGTTTTGGACTGCAGTCACTATCAGACAGAATGGCAAAGGTTTGCAAACAATATATTATAAATGCAGACAGACATTCACATTGCAGTCTGTCTCTTTGTAGTAGAGGAATTGATTTAACTGGTTGCCAACTAAAATACAAATACACTATTTATTTATTTATGTATTTATTTATTCATTCATTCATAATAACAGTATCTGATTATATTCACTTAAATCCATTTGTTCTCCACAGCAACAATGATGGATTCAGACATGGCGGGCCAGGACATGGGGGTGAGCAAGTTGGGCACTCAGGCTGAGAAGGACCGCAGATTGAAAAAGAAGTAAGCGTTTATCCTAAGTGCCACTTCACTAGAACATTTTGAGGTGGAGTTAGTATCGTCATAGTCCCTTAATGCACACCCAGCAGTATCCATTTAATATAATAACACAGACATCTAGGTACCCTGTGAGAAGAAACATTTTCTTTGGAAACAATCCAACTCAAACGTTCTTGAGAATTCCCACTCACTGCTACATTGCAGTATATAAACCAGTCTGAACATGGTATAGAGACAATGGCTATACCCTCTTTTCCCGGGTTTGCCTTTAACCTCTTTTCTTTCACTGTATATTCTACCATAACTGATTTAATCCTGAGAACAGGATCAATACAAAGCAGAAGCTCGATCAGTATCCACGAGCACAGATCAGCCCCACTGTATTCAGACACACAGCCAAAGTCACACTATTGATCCAGGCTAAAAAGCCAATTAATCGCACAAAGGTTCTTTGTCACTTTGGAAGCTATAGATGGCTTTCCTAACACACCACCCATAGATTACACTCAGACACATTAGGTGCCTTCTTGGGGGGGAAGAAACAAAAGGGAAATCCCTTCACACATCGGCTCTCTCAGCTGGAGTGTTTCAGAATAAATGTGCGTGTGTGTTCGTGTGTGTGTGCGCATTTGCCATGCCTCAGTGCCAAATGATGAATGTCATTTGCTCGAAGTGCACATTGAGTTGTCATGACGGATAACTTTGCCTCCCATGTAGTTTGGTCAATAGAGATTACTGTTGTTCCGTATGTTGACAAATGTGTTGTTTTCCTTCCACTGCACCGACTTCTTCATAGCAGTGTCCGGGATTCAGACCACACGCCACCACCTTGCATCTTGGTGCCTCCTCCTCCTCCTCACTGCATGCCATTAAGCTGCCTGCACTATTTCCATTTCAGCATCTTGGTTGATCAGTACTGCTGTGATCTCATTGTCGGTGTGTTTTGTTTTCCTTCAAGAGGTAACAACAAGTATCTGAATGTAACTGAGCATTTGAATGTAAGGCCATGGAGGGGAGGGTCTTGCTGTGTTTCAGTGCATTTCTCATTTCTTCTGCTGCACGAGATGTGATCAGGACTGCATTGTAGAAGATGACTTTTTTGGACTGCTCTACAGATGCTCCTGTTAAAGAATGTCCTCCATTGTGAGATATGTGTCTCTGTGTGTGTGCGCGAGTGAGTGGGAGTGCAAGTGTTTGCGTTTAGAGCCGTAGGGTGAATTTGCCTATAAACTCATTAACATGTGTGTACTTTTGTCTCCCCGTCGCTCTCTTTCTCCCTCTTTCTCTCTTCTTTGACTCTCTCCTCTCTTACCCTTCCTCTCCCTCTCATCATCCTCTGACTCTAACAAAGCGGGTAAGTTGTGAGGATGTATAAATGCCCTCCTGGATATGACATTGTCTCAGCCATTTTGCCCTTTGTGTCATCTCTTCTGTGTGTCTGCTCATCCGTCCTCTCCTGAAAGAACCAGTGCCAAAGCTGACGTCTCTTATCTATCTATCTATCCTTCATGGCTGTTAATGATGCCATTGCTTTCTTTCTTTTCTTTTTTTTTTTCATTTACCACATGAGCACTTTTTCTTCCCCCCCTTTTTACAGTTCAATGGCAGCTGCATCCATGGCTGGACAGAGAATGTGCCGCCGCTAAACCTGAGGCCCAATTTTTATACCCAGAATGTTTTCCTCTCCTTATCTGTGTCTCTTATCTATTTGTGTGAAATAACCAGCTGCAACATCTGGTTATGGGAATGTCAGAGGTTCTTTTTGGTTGTATGATTTATCATAACTGTCTCCTTACTTCCCTTTTCCCCCAGCTATGTTCAGTGGATGTATTTCTCCATGCATTAGACTTGACCTGAACATAAAACATGAGCTACCATGTGCTGGATAGATAAGATAGTGAATGTATCTGGTTGTGTTTGGATGAACACATTTCCTCTGTCACCTGTAGGCCTTTGTATGCCATGTGTGGTGTGTTTAAGTGCCCTTTCACCACACCGAGGCCTTCAATGCTGAGAGTGCTACATGTATCATGTTTATTACAAAGCCCTCTCCTTCCATTTGTCAAGTTCTTTGACAACACAATCGGGGAAGGGGAGGTTGATTCAGAGTTTGATTTTTCTTTCATTTTGTTATGAAATGTGTTCACAAAATAGAATAGGAACTGTGTTGTTGTTGTTGTTTCGTGCGTGGATGTGAGTACGAGTGTGTTCCTCGGTCCCCTGTTCATCAGGCATTTTTAGGCTGTTTATCAGTTCTGTATCTCGCTGAATGTGGGAGGATTCAGCACAACACAAATAGCTCTTTGCATGACAGACAAAGAGTATCTATTTGCTTCTCCTTGTCGATATGGTGCAAATTGCATTGGGCTGAATAGGTTGTTTCCGGTGCTCAAAGCTACCCTCAAAAGGAAGCATAACAAAATAGTACTTAGACCTCAGATGTTACACTTCAACACCTGCTAAAAAAAAAACAAAACATGGAGCACAGCCGAGAAAGTGCGAAGACAAGTTTCACTTAAAAACACTCGACTGCATGATTCAAACATCCAAAACAAATAAAAATCTATCCCTGCTGAAAAAAACTACGATGAGATGGATAATCGTGTTTAGTGTGGTGCCCAGAATCACTGAGCAGATAACTGCAGCACTGTGCTTTCCAGGTGTGGGCATTGTTGTTGATGCAGTACTTCTGCCAAGGTTGAAGCAATCCTCTAAATATAGTGTGAACATATTTTACAATCTAGATCAAAATATGCAGAAAGAAATTTAGAGTTCCAGGTTGAACTATTGCAAACTTAAAGCAGCAAGTCTTAAATTACTAGAGACAGCTTGCTCTCCGTAGCTGCATCTGTTATGTAATTTAAAGGTAACATTTTATATTAGCTTACAAATAGTATAGAGTCATAACTACCAAAATCAAAAATATGCAAATGCCTAAATGTCTCAGTAAATAGATGTGACTTGAGATGCATTCAAAATAATATTAAAAATAATAAAAACATTTAGATAATAAGGCATTAATTAAATCATTAAAAATAATGACAGATTGTTTTACCGTTGCATTATTTACTCTGTTTATTTTTTATTTCCATTCCAAATATTTTCCATATTTTTTTTCCCGACACTCACCCGGGTCTTGGTTCTGGGAGTAGCCATCGAAGCACCTCCTCAGAGGTGTTCCTAAACCACCTGAGAGACAAAATCTCTCCAGCATTTCCTGCATCTGCCTGGGGGCTTCCTCCCACTTGGATATGGCTGAAATACCTCAGCTTCCAACATCCCAAGAATCAGTTTAAGGAACTGGGGATTGGTTTGCCAAGGCTTACACCACCTTGATTTACTCTGCACCACACACCTATGGCTTGTCCCGTAGGTGATGGGTGATGGGATGAGCGCTGCCTCGTGTGTCTTGAAGGGCTAAGACCAGGCCACGAGGAGCGTGCTGTGTTCTTCATAGCAGTCTTTTGAGGGGGGGACCTGGCCTTGCACCTCCAGGACCAGTTTACCTTGGGAAATCCTACCAGGGAAAATGCCTCGTAAGGCATAGCTGCGGATGTAACTCGAGCGCACAATAAGGTGGAACTTAATGGAGGGGTCATCATGTCTTTTCTATTTCTGTATTATATATTCTTAGCATTTTTAGTCTCTATTTCACCAAGCTTTTCTTTTCTTGTGTTTGCTTTTTTTCGTTTATTTATGCATTTCTGCTTATAGAGACTGTCAAGGGTCAACCTGGCAGCTATTGGCTAATCAACACCAAGCTCACAAATAGAACACAAAGGTGTAAATGCATAAAGAAAACTTACAAATAAATCAACCTTTTCTTCATCTGTAACATTATTCACAAGGGTTCACCACAGTGGATTTCTTTTCATATTTTATTTGGCAGATTTTTATGCCAGATGCCCTTCCTGACACAACCCTCCCAGGGATTTGTGTCTCCTCCCAGTCTCAGAACTGGCTTAAGTCTAAACCACCAAGGTTTAACAAAAAGACAAAATAAATGGAAATAATAATAAACAGGGAAATAACACAAATATGGTTACAATTCAAATGGGATTCTCACCAGTCATAATTGTATAATTTCTGCATTATTTTTCAATTATTTATTGAGAGGAATTTAATGTCAGCCATTTATTTATCCATTTATTGATTTCTTTTAATTATGTCAGCTTCAGCCCTCCGTATTGCAGACATGGCAGGGATGAGCTAGCCTAAAGGACTGTGGACTCAGTGAAGTCAGTGAAGTGCATTAATGCAAGGCCTGTGTGTTTCTCTGAGTGCAGATACAGCTGTGCATATCTGTGCTCCACTGTCCGTTAGCACAGAAGTGAATGATGAATTATTGCCCCTTTCAATGCTATAGGAGTACAGGCTGGACCGAGAGATAAAATGTGAATGAGTACAATCCTCTTTGTGTACTCCACACACACAGATCTGCAACAGCACAACGTTAACTGCAGGAGTTTGTGAAGAGCATGTGAGCAGGTTTTAGGATGCGAGATGTAAGAAAGTCTGGTGTTTTGTTAGACTGAACAAATGTGTGTTCAGGATGTACAAATTCATGTGTTCATACCAGGTCTCCTCTGTCCCTGCCCTCAGACACGAGCTGCTGGAAGAGGCTAGGAGAAAGGGTTTACCTTTTGCCCAGTGGGACGGTCCTACTGTTGTTGCATGGCTGGAGGTAAATGGTCACCTATCACTAGTAGGTATATTAATAATTGAAGCGCGTAAGATGGATGTAGCTTTACTTTTATTGAAGTATGAAGTTATGACTCAGTGTTCAATCACTTGCATGGATATTTACCGAACAGTAGCACAGAATAGAAATTTAAGAATATGTGATGATCACTGTAGTGACTCAGTGACGTTTTAGAAAACACTGGAATATACAGCCTAAAGGACCCGAAATAAAGACACTCTTCTGCCCCCTAATGTTTACTAGCATATGTACATTCACAAGTCAGTTCAGGACCTCCCTAATCCTCCAGCACAATGTTCTAGTTAAAGGCTGATATTAAAATATATTTGACTTAAAAGGTTGTTTTTTTTAATTCTTAACATGATTTTTATTGCCAAATAAGTACTCAGTCTTTCAGGTTAACACTGTTGTTATATGTATGTATATATATGTTGTTGTGATATAGTTCTTACACACACTGGACACTCTGGACATTGTTTTCACTTCATCACTTTAAGCATATTTGCACTGCACAAGACACTATATAATGTGGATTGCACAACACTGGACATTATATTCCTCATTTCCAGTTAATATTTGTACAGCTGCTGTTATTGTGTGTGTATATATATATTTATATTTCTCTTACATTCTTATATATGTCTATACTTTGTATTTTGTTGTACAGTTATCTTATTTTCAACTTTAATTTATATATTTTATCTTATTCTTTCCCAGTTAAATTTACCCTTCATTCTAATTTGTGTTGTACAGTTATCTCATTCTTAACT